TCTAGTCTATCTATCTTATCTATCTATCTATCTATCTATCTATCTATCTATCTATCTATCTATCTATCTATCTATCTATCTATCTATCTATCTATCTACCTAGCTACCTATTTATCTATCTATCTATCTATCTATCTATCTATCTATCTATCTATCTATCTATCTATCTATCTATCTACCTACCTAGCTACCTATTTATCTATATATCTATCTATCTATCTATCTATCTATCTNAAGGGTAATGATAAGCTTAGGGGGCATCCACGGATCTTAAAGGGTGATGTGAATGCTAGGCAGTATCCACGGACTCTATAAAGGGTAATGTCATGCTAGCGAGCATCCGGAACTCTTATATAGAGGGTATGTAAGCTAGGGGGCATCTGACAGACTCGTATTAGAAGCGGTAATGTAGGTAGGGGGACATCACGGACTCTATCAAGGGTAATGTTTAAGCCTAGGGGGGATCCACGGACTCTATAAAGAGGTATTGTAGCTAGGGGGCATTCACGGACTCTATAAAGGGTAATGTAAGCAGGACCAGTATCCGACGGGATTCGTATAAAGGGTAATGTTGCTTAGGAGCGATCCAGGACTCTATAAGGGTACATGTTAAGCCAGGAGGCATCCCGGACTCTATAAAGTGTAATGTAGCTACAGCGGGCCATCCCGCTAGTGGGGCATCCACAGGGCTATAAAGGGCAATGTAGTTGGCGCATCACGGCGACTCTTAAAGGGTAATGGTATTAGGGGGCATCCAGCGGACTCTACTAGAAGGGTATGTAAGATAGGGGGCATCCGGGTGCTCTATAATAGGAGCGATGTAGAGCGTTGGGGGCATCCCAGGATCTATAAGGATGTAAGTTAGGGGCTATCTACGGATCTATAAGGAGGTGAGGGGATGGGCTAGGAGCAATCACGGATTCTATAAACGTAGTGTGTGAATGTAAGTTATGGGCCATCCACCGACTACTATAAAGGGGTAATGTAAGTAGGAGCGATCACGGACTCTATAAAAGGGTATGGTAAGTTAGGGTGCGTCCACGGACTCTATAAAAGGGCGTAATGTAAGTTAGGGGTCATCCACAGACTTTATGAAGGGTAATGTGGTTAAGGCATTCCACGAGCTATTTCAGGGATAACATATAATGGTTAATTTTGAAGATTGATTTGCTCGCTTATGTATATATGTATCTTGTTTGCGTCTCAGGGTAATATGATCAGGATGTCTGTGGAATCTTAAGCTTTTAAATGCTGCAGGCATCTGCATTTGGACGGCCGACAATGTTGGGTTGCCGTACCTCCGCATTACAGTGTATTACCGTTGATGTGCTCGTGTAGAAGCGCGAGAATACAGGTTGTGAATGTTTCGATAAAGGTCGTGAGGTTTGTAAAGGTTTTCAAATGTCGAAAATGTCAATCGAGGCCGAAGGTCGATAAAGTTGTTGGAGGACGTAGAGGGTCGGTCGGGGTCTGCGCGTCGGTAATTTGACTAGGACGTGCCTCGTGTTACATTGCTGTCCTCGCAATAGGCTGTTGGCAATTCCTCGCGCGAAGCATCTCGCGGAATGACGACTCGGTGGCCTACGAGACCCTGAGGTTGGCGCTGGGGGGGGGGGCGACGACCGCGCACACGTCGCGAAGAAGATCGGCTGGAGCGCGTCTGGTTAGGTGTGCCGCGGCGGAGGCGGCTGTATTTCGATCGTTCACTGGCATTTTTAGGCCTCACCTTGACATGTCAGCTGAGCTATTTGCATGGCGTCATCGTCCGTCCATCCGTCCGTTTAGGCTCCGTCTCAAAATTGGCTACGGTCAACGATAAACTCAGAAACGTTTGACCCATGTTTGAAATTGGGTATAGTTGTTACTGCTATGATCCATATTAAACGTCCTATTTTGGAGCCCGCAGTTGACGTACTTTCGAGCCATTGGCAATTTTTTGGCAAAAATGCGGAATTGCCATTAAAATTTTTTTTCAAGGTTTTTTTTTTCAAAGCTTCAACGGATTTGCTCTTTTTCTGGTATGTGAATGATAAGGGCTAGGGGTTTTGATAAATTATGCAAATTAGTAGGGTGGGCAATTAGTTAGCCATATTTATATAGACACGCAGATAACAAACGTCTGTGGTGTTCACACTCGTCTGGATTCGTTTTATCATATTTCATTGGACAATATCTTTTGATGGCAAATTTCTGCTAGGCAACATTTATGATATTATCACTATTTATTATATTATTATTTTGGGATATATGATTTTATGCTAAGAAACATCAAAGCGGTATTAGCGCCATCTACCGTCATCAAATTGCGATTCATTTTGGTTTATTAAATTATTTACAATTTATTATTATATTATTTATTATTTTACATAAACAATTAACATCTAATTATCAAAGTTATATATGGAGTTTCTCCAGTATATACACTTCGTTTATATAATGTACGCTCGATGGTTGTCAATTAGAAACTTCAGGATGGGATCTTTTGCGGATCCGCGGAAAGTCGCGGATTTCACAGTCCCAGGGTCGATTTGTGAAAGTCTAAATGTTGAGAAAATTTTTAGGGTTGGCTGTTAGAATGTCCACATTTTCGGTTTCTACAGTCCAACAGTTACCTTTATTTATAATTGTAATATACAGCAGGTCTGTAACATTGCATCCCATTATGCAATAATAGATATAATTTTGCAAAGCAGCCAGCTAATTGTGATGTGTATTATAGCATTGTATTCATGAACAGGCAATGCGTTCTAGACAATAAGCTCGTCTGCAGTGTAGTACTGTGGAGGCGTAGTGTAAAATGATTGAAGGGGGCGGCCCTTTTGTTACACGGGCTGAATGTGCAAATAATCGAAGCGAATTCATTTCGAGCAGTGTTTTCGTGATTTGACCACTAAACTATGGTTGAGGATTAATTGAGAGGCGGCACCACATCTAACATTAGCAGAAACTATGACAAGGATGTGAGGAACAGTTTCGCTGGGTTGGTTAGGAAAAATATCTGTCACACTGAGTGTTCAAACTCGGGAGAACTGAAGCTATGTTCGGCAAAGTGCGATTTTTTAAATAATTATATTTATATTTATTTAGGCAAATTATCTTCATTACAATACATTGCTACTTTTACATAAAAATTTGAATTCATAGAAATTGGATTTACCAAGGATATTATACAAAAAGCATGACTGAACATTATTTAATTGTGGTCCTTGTTTTGCTATGCCTTGAATCTAACTGCACCTCTGCTATGCCTTGCACTACTATTAGAACTAACTGGCAATGTAGCTGGTGTAACGATTTTGGCTTCTTAGTTTGGCTTCTTAGTTTGGCTTCTTACTGTGTGCGCATGCGCGTGCAGCTTCAGCTTCATTGAATCCTCCGTGGTGTAACGATTTTGGCTTCTTAGTTTGGCTTCTCGTCGGGATCACGTGTACGTTTCGTGTGCCCTCTACACCACGTGACATACCACGGCTAGCGAGTATATAAGGTGCCATATAACCGTTGTTAAGCACTCGGCCTGACTCGGGGGCGCAGTCACCTGCCGTTGCACTCACGCCACAGGGGGAATGCATTACACTGGTGCCGTGACCAGGATCAACTATTCGATAGCAGAGCAGCGCGTGTGTGTGGCGTGTCGTCACTGGATTTACGCTTGTCGGCTTGCCCGTCAGCATAGTATCCAAACCTCACGTCGCAACGCACAAAACGCGGTGGTATTGGTTGCTGTGCTCTAAGATGCCTCTACCACGAGCTTCGTATAGCCCCGGCGACAGCGCTGATTATGCGGAGCCGAGATGTTCTACATGGAGATTCCTGGTTTGGCAGGACGTAGGACGGCCAGATCCAGGCATCCAGATGGAGAGGACGATATCGAACACAAGCATCCATCCCGCGTCACGTTCTGTACAAATCCCATCGAGGTGTTCAGCACGTGGTCGGTCGACGACTACGACCGCCGCAACGACGACGATCCCGTCGCGGCGTCCGCCGAGTACGAGCTCGAGAAACGCGTCGAGAAGATGGACGTGTTCCCAGTCGGCCTCGTCAAAGGTGCGGAGGGACTAGGCTGGAGCATCATCGGCATAGGCGTCGGAGCGGACGCCGGCATCGAGAAGCTGGGTATCTTTGTGAAGGCCATCATGCCTGCCGGCGCCGCAGCGAAGGACGGCAGGATTCAGGTGAATTATCAGATCGTGGAGGTGGACGGGAAGAGCCTGGTAGGCGTGTCAGAGGCCTACGCGGCCTCCGTGCTGGGAGACACCTTTGGACTTGTCAGGTTTATGATTGGGAGAGAGTGTGACCAGGCAAACAGTGAGATTGCTCGGCTCATCAGTCAGCCGGAGAAGCAGAAGGAGGAGCATAAGAAGATACAGGAGTACCTCGACTCGTGTGCGCAGGTAAGGGAGGCGGACGAAAATACGGCGCAAAGCGAGGAGAGAGAGTCGCCGGGCCGTAGATCGACGACTCCACCGATGGACGACATCACGTGGGAAGGTGAGGTTGAGAGCGAGAACGTCGCCTACCCGCTCGACAATTACTCGCCGCTGTCCGACGACTCATCGCGCCGGCCGCAGTGCGAGGTGTTTGACCTGCCGGACGACCTGAACAGCGA